CTCCGCGCGGGGCCTCTGCCCCCTCTCGCTCCGCGCGGGGCCTCTGCCCCCTCTCGCTCCGCGCGGGGCCTCTGCCCCCTCTCGCTCCGCGCGGGGCCTCTGCCCCCTCTCGCTCCGCGCGGGGCCTCTGCCCCCTCTCGCTCCGCGCGGGGCCTCTGCCCCCTCTCGCTCCGCGCGGGGCCTCTGCCCCCTCTCGCTCCGCGCGGGGCCTCTGCCCCCTCTCGCTCCGCGCGGGGCCTCTGCCCCCTCTCGCTCCGCGCGGGGCCTCTGCCCCCTCTCGCTCCGCGCGGGGCCTCTGCCCCCTCTCGCTCCGCGCGGGGCCTCTGCCCCCTCTCGCTCCACGCGGGGTACACTGAACAAAAATATAACCGCAACACTTTTGTTTCTGCTCCCATTTCTCATGAGATGAACTCAAAGATCTAAAACATTTTCTATAAACACAAAATAACCATTTTTCTCAAATATTGTTCACAAATCTGAAAGAATCTGTGATAGTGAGCACTTCTCCTTTGCCGAGATAATCCATCCCACCTCACAGGTGTGGCATATCAAGATGCTGATTAGACAGCATGATTATTGCACAGGTGTGCCTTAGGCTGGCCACAATAAAAGGCCACTCTGAAACGTGCAGTTTTGCTTTGTTGGGGGGGTCCGAAAACCAGGCAGTATCTGGAGGTAGGGGTTATTTAATAAATAAATATATATCTATTTATAGGGCCATAAATATAAATATATGAATATAAATAAATATTTATTTATATATATGTATTTATGGCCCTTTAAATAAATAAATAAATAAATAGATAGATAAATAAATAAATAGATAGATAAATAAATAAATAAATAGATAAATAAATAAATAGATAAATAAATAAATAAACCAAATTGCAACTGAAGTAATCTATCTACGGTCACATTGAACATGTGCTCTTTTATTAAATAAACTAAACACCTGTTATTTATCCAATGTGCATGTTTCAGTGTCCACTGCTTTGCGCTCTGTTTCTGAAGGGCAGCACCCTGCCAAGGCCGCACCCTGCCAAGGCCGTCAGCCCAGGGGAACACTGAACACCCCCTTTCCTTTCATTTTAGTATCTTTAATACTTGGTATTAGGGATGCACGATAATGATCGGTCCGATATTAGGAATTATGACGTCAACCCGATAAACCCGATACCAGTATTAATAGCCCCGATAATATACAATATATTTTTTGGGTAAAACAAAAGAAAGAAATCCTGCGGTGTGGGTGGATTGGGATGAGGGGCGCTTGTTTTTATTCGGCTCCTCCCGGTTTGCCAGTACTGTGGTATGAGTGGTTTAGGAAGAGGGGAGTTCTTCACAAATCCAGCGCTCCCTAACTCGTGAAGCCAGGACAGTAAACAAACATGTCGTCGGTGGTATGGGCGTTGGCGCTATGTGCAACTCAAGGCATATGCTCGAACCGGAGCTGCCTGGACGCTGCAATCATGTTGCGCACTAACCGTGCTGACTTCTCGTACAATGTCCCACTGTCTGGCTTCCTGCATAAAGTCAAGTGCTCGGCGCAGTTGTGGCGAAATGTCGCTCCTCTGTTTTCATTTAAACAGCTCCTTATATCTGTTAGCGCAGCTAGCTAGCACCAGATGCTAACAACAACAATGCACGTAAGGTCTCTCTCTCGCTCGGGCCACACATACACACACCCTCCCGGTCCTCCAGATGGCCAGTCGGTGCCTGCCGGTGAGCGTGGAAGTGTGGTCTGCCACAAGCGGGCGACAGGAGCGGGGCTGTCAGCATCAGCTTGTAGATGGTATTTTAATCTCAATGCGCTCTGAAACTACGGGGCGGCCGAGGAAAAAAAAATACACATGCGTTAATCGCGTTAAAATAATTAGTGGCGTACTTTTTTTGTTTGTTATCGGTATCGGTCTTGAGAAGCAGGAAGTTATCGGTATCGGTTTCAAAAAACCAATATCGTGCAGCCCTACTTGGTATGCATGCTAGCCAACATGAAGCTGTCTGTGGCCCTTTCTGCTGCAACTCGGCCCCTCTGTGGCCGAGGGAAGGGTTCTGGTTCTGTATGGCTGAACGAGTCACATGGTCAGACATTGACCTCCTCTGGTTCATTGATTAAATATGTAATATATTAGTGTTAGCTCTAAAAAATGTGTGAAGCAGTTGAATTCATTTCAAACCTTTATTTATCCAGATAAATCCCATTGAGATCATTGATCTCTTTTTCAAGGGAGACCTGCTCAAGTAGTTCCACATGAAACATAAACAGAACAACAGAAGGACATCATCCAGCATCCTTTACATAATTATCCACATGAACAGGTACCAACAGCTTCCCATTGAGTCGCATCCAACCGAGCTTTAAAAACATTTAGTGGCACCAGATTGTTCAGTTTCCATTTCATTTGCAGACTATTCCAAGACAGAGGAGCTGCGCATCTAAAGCTGTCTTCCCTAAGACAGTCCTAGCAGCTGGCTCATTTAATAAAACCACAGCATGCGATCTCAGGCAGTAGCCACTTACACTTCTCCCTGAGATCAGGGAGCAGATAATAGATGCTAAAAAGTGAAAGAAAGATATGTTTAATAACAGTGTTGGAAGTGATGCTTGTTAAAAGCTTACATTTAAACTATAACCAACATCTGTTTAACAATAACATATATACTGACAATGATAGGGTTTAATTCACATTTTAACTACTTATAACAGACTTTATCCTTCCCATAAGCAGCCTGTTAGCAGCAGCAGCCTGTTAGCAGCAGCAGCTCACTCAGATGGCTTCTCGGTGAGGGTGTGGCTGACTGCAGCACATTGTGTTAGCATTAGCCCTGTTAGCTCGCCTCTCACTCTTTGGAAACACATCTGAAAACACTGCTCATCTAAAGCTATTCAATTATAAATAAATAAAAACATTTACACGCAATGAGGCTAACTGACGATGCTAAAGTGTTAGCTTAGCATGATGCTGGATGACTGCGCGTTTATCCGGCTAACAAAGACACCGGAGAACAGTGAATATCACCCGGGATATGAAGTGTGTTTCCTGCACAGATCTGTTAGATATCTTGAACATACAGTGTGAATATTAAACAGATAGTGTCTGAATAACAGCCACATTAACGCAGGTTGTTAGCACCGCCAGGAGCTAGCTGCTAGCTCCAACCATCTCTGTTTTATGGTGACTAAAGTGTCACCTTTTTAAAAACAGTTAAAAAAACATCCAAAGAGTCATTTAATATCTAACTGATTATAGACAAAGACGGAATAAATACATACTTAATAACTTATTAAACCATCTCAGAATAAGGACAGTGATGGAAAGTAACGGAGCGTAGTCAAGTATTGTATTTAACTACTTTTTTAATATATTTGTAATTTAATATTTGTATTTATTTAACGCATTCTCTATTCTTCCACTCAAATACATTTAAAAAAGGCAAATATTGTAGTTTTGACTGCATTTATAAACTCATAGTGACTTCGCTAACAAATAACAGACCCGATGTTCTGTATTATGGGATTAGCTGCTCAGTGATGCTAACAGTTAGCGGTTAGCCACATGGTTAGCTGTTAGCCGGTTAGCTCAGTGATGTTAACCCGATTAGGATTTAGCATATAGCCACATTAGCTCCGCTAGCTCCGGTTCCTCTTTGTGTCGCAGCCCGGCAGCTCTCCCGGTTACCGGCTACACATCTCGCCGATAATCACCACACACATCCCCCCCGTCAGAGAATGCATGTTAAAGTACATTTAAAGTATTTATCGGTACTTACTGAGCACTAAAACCTGCTGGCCCATCATTTTGACAGCGCGTGCAGGATCTTCAGACTGGAAGGTTCTGGGAGGCACGAGGAGAAGGAGGGATGAAGGCTCGGGGGCGGGAAAACAACCACAGGTCTGACCAATCAGTGGAGGGCATCAGTGTGATTGACAGGCGCGTTCGCCAATCGGGTGAATGAGCTGAAAGGGTTAAAGTGTTAACAGGCTCAGCCTTTTATGGTGAGAACCAACCGGACTCCATTTGGAGTTTACATGATGCAGAATTCACTTTATCATGTTTGTTTCTGACTGTTATTCAAGAAGACATTTCATCACTAAACATTTATTCAGATGTTATTATGGTGTAATACAGGTTGTGATGTGTTTAAAGGTATAAAGTCATATAAGATGTTATATTTAATATTTAATGAAATATTGTCCTGTCGTGTGTGTGCGTGTGTGTGGGTAATGCGTGTGTGTGAGTACTGTGTGTGTGGGTAATGCGTGTGTGTGAGTACTGTGTGTGTGTGTGTGTGTGTGTGACTCACACACACACACACACACACACACACACACACACACACACACACAGTACTCACACACACAGTACTCACACTGTGTGACAGTCACACAGTGTGAGTACTGTGTGTGTGAGTACTGTGTGTGTATGTGTGTGTGTACCGTCTCAGCCAGCTCTGTGTACTCCAGCTTCTTGCAGTGTGAGTGTGTGTGTGAGTACTGTGTGTGTGAGAGTGTATGTGTGTGAGTACTGTGTGTGTGTGTGTGTGTGTGTGTACCGTCTCAGCCAGCTCTGTACACCAGCTCCAGCTTCTTGCAGTGTGAGTGTGACTGAGTGTGTGTGTGTGTGTGTGTGTGTGTGTGTGTACCGTCTCAGCCAGCTCTGTGTACACCAGAGGCCTGTATTACGAAGCTGGATTTTCGCTTAGCGAGGTAACTTCAGGGGCAACTCTGGGTTTCCGGTCCTACGGGGTGTAGTCTCTATTTGAACCTGTGTATAATGACATATTGTCCTGAGTTGGAGACAATAGGGTTATTAAATATTAATATCAAGTAGGGTTTGATTGAGGATTGAATATGTAATTCTTAGTGTGAGTTAAGGGTTTATAATGTTATTCTAAATGAAAGTAGTTAATATTTAATACCTGTTTGTATACAGTTTACTACACACTGAATATAACTCTGCAACCTGTTTCTATAGTTAGATCAGTACACAGACTCCGGGTTATTTCAGTCCGTTTTATTAAATATTCCTAAAATAAGGCTCAGATTTTTCACAAAATACAAAAACATGAAGTTTAAATAAAAGATTTGTCAAAAATATACAGATACACAGATTGACAGAAATCAATAAAGAGGTCAGCATTAAATAAACATCAATAACAGTGAAGTAGTGACAGGAAGTGAAATTACAATTAATAAATCTGTAAAATAAAAAAATATAAAATAATAAAAAAATGAGGAAATATAAAAAAAAGAAGTTAAAATAATAAAGTCTCAAAAACTGAACCAATAAAAAAAATATATATATATCACTCGTCATTTAATTGACATGGGGGGGTGTTTCTCTTTTGAAAAGACCCAAATGAAAGGACTCATACATACAAAAAGACATGTTTCAATCTCAAATATCATTCACTACATTTCCCAGAATGCCTTTCGACGTCCTCCAAAGAACCCCAAAAACGTGCAAAGTGACCAAACCCCCTTTCACATGCACATCTCAATAAATAAATAAAAAAACATAATTTAGAAGTCTCTCTCGGTCCGTTGTCATGGAGACGGGGTGTAGTCTCTTCTGATTGGACGACGGAGACGTGTCAGAGCACGGGCTGTAGTCTCTTCTGATTGGACGATGGAGGCGTGTCAGAGCTCGACCTTCGCCGCCCCGACTCTCAGCCGATGAGTCGATTCGCTCTTCAGGAACTTCAGGAAGTCTCTGAGCTCCCGCCCCCCCTGAGGAGAGACAATCACATGTATTATTAATTATCCAATCAGGATTAGATAAGAGCGTCATGTGATGAAGACACGTTCATATTCATTAACTCTATCACTCCATAAGAAGTCCTTCCTGTTGGATCTATCTATATATTGATATGTGACATGATGTAGTGACAGGTGTGTGTTCACCTCGTATCTGATTGGCTCGTCCTTCCTGCCGGCCCGGGCCAGGTAGATGGTGGGATACCTGCGGAGAGAGGGATAGTGTTTATATACACAGTACACTCACATGTATATATTGTTATGTGGAACAGGAGCTCACCCCTGCACGTCGTATCCGTTGGGGACGTCGTTGTCGCCGGCGTTCATCCGGGCGATCACGATGTTGGGATTAGAGGACAGCTGACCACACGCACGTAAACATAAACAAAAATATTATGACAACACACCTCCGGCTGCAGGTGAGCAGAAAAACATGGGGCATTCTGGGAAGTTTTAAAGTTCGAAAATTAAATTTTTAACAGAAACGTTGGACATGTTTATATTAATACGTAAAAGACCCTCAGTGTACCGTGTGTGTGTGTGTGCTGTGTGAGTACGGTGTGTGTGTGCTGTGTGAGTACGGTGTGTGTGTGCTGTGTGAGTACTGTGTGTGTGTGTGTGTGCTGTGTGAGTACTGTGTGTGTGTGTGTGCTGTGTGTGTGTGTGAGTACTGTGTGTGTGCTGTGTGAGTACCGTGTGTGTGTGTGTGTGTGAGTACCGTGTGTGTGTGAGTACTGTGTGTGTGTGTGTGCTGTGTGAGTACCGTGTGTGTGTGTGCTGTGTGAGTACAGTGTGTGTGTGTGTGTGTGCTGTGTGTGTGTGTGTGTGTGAGTACTGTGTGTGTGTGTGTGCTGTGTGAGTACCGTGTGTGTGTGTGTGTGTGAGTACCGTGTGTGTGTGAGTACTGTGTGTGTGTGTGTGTGCTGTGTGAGTACCGTGTGTGTGTGTGTGTGAGTACTGTGTGTGTGTGTGTGTGTGCTGTGTGAGTACAGTGTGTGTGTGTGTGTGCTGTGTGTGTGCGGTGTAAGTACTGTGTGTGTGCTGTGTGAGTACTGTGTGTGTGTGTGTGCTGTGTGTGAGTAGTGAGTACTGTGTGTGTGTGTGTGTGTGTGTGTGCGGTGTGAGTACTGTGTGTGTGTGTGTGTGTGCGGTGTGAGTACTGTGTGTGTGCTGTGTGTGAGTACTATGTGTGTGTGCGGTGTGAGTACTGTGTGTGTGTGTGTGTGCGCGTGTGTGTGTGCGGTGTGAGTACTGTGTGTGTGCTGTGTGTGAGTACTATGTGTGTGTGTGCGGTGTGTGAGTAGTGAGTACTGTGTGAGTGTGTGTGAGTACTATGTGTGTGTGTGTGTATGTGTGTGTGTACACCAGCTCCAGCTTCTTGCAGTGTGTGTGTGTGTGTGTGTGTGTGTGTGTGTGTGTACCGTCTCAGCCAGCTCTGTGTACACCGGCTCCAGCTTCTTGCAGTGAGAACAGGATCGAGAGTAGAACTGGATCAGAACGTCTCTCTCCGGGCTGTTGACCAGATCGTCAAAATTCTCCGCCACCACCGTCTGAGGATTATTTAATAATAAAGTGTATTTACGGTGGCCCTGAAGTGCAAGACACAACAGCATTTCACATTGGACGGAAAGGGTATTCCTTTAGTGATGTTTGTGATTGGACAGAGCCAGCCAGAGAAGCACTGCTGTGATTGGTTGTTTTTGCTGCCAGTCAAGAAATGACGCTCCGTGATTGGCCCAACACATCAGCCGTTAGCTGTTAGCACTCAGAGCTCACAGCTC